TACCCACCTAGGGTCGAACATAACGCAATTCCAGTTCAGTTCCCCTATTCAGGCTCTGCCGGAAAGGCGATTCAGGATTTTTAACGCAGTGGGGCGTATTGGGATATGTAATTTTCAAACAATCTTGCTAGATATTCCTGTTTTCTCAATCAGTATGATGCCTGAATCCAGCGTTGCACGGCTCAGTTCTTCCACATTTTGAGCACTGCTGTAAACTACAGCTTATTTTGGCTTCACTTCTGCCCATTTCGCTGAATCACGTGATTTGTACAGTTAAACTTAGTTTCTCTTGATTCACTTTCTTTTTTTATTACACTGTAGCGGTTTAGGTACCTCCTTCCCACAAAACTGAAGAGAGGCAAAAAAATCCTTTTTGAGTGCGGGAATGCCCCTTCAGCTGCAGCATTTAAGTAGCAGTTCCAGAAATAATGTTTGCCCCTGTTTCTCTTTTAATTAGCGTATTGTTGCCTCTTCAACCTTCCCACCAAGCTGTTCTTTCAGAAGTTGTACATCAAAATCCGAGAAAACGCACAAAAACGCATGACTCGCACAATTTTCCTTTGCAAACAGACCAAAGCAGTGATTTTTTTAAAAATAATCAAAAATTTTTGATTCGCTGATTTTCAGGAGCCGCCTGTGAAGGAGTCGATTGGAGAAGTGGTAGGAAACCATGAGTATTATCTACTTCTGCGTGTTTTATTATTTATGGAAAAATACGATGTTGATGTCTTATGATTGAAGCATGTTGTTCTAGGGCATCAGTATATGCGCATATATCGAGAAATCTTCGTTCCAGGCATTTTATTGTGTTTTGTGAGGGGCAAAGGATTGGACAGTATCGAGGCAGGGCAGGGTACAAACCTTGGCAGCTCTAAGTACGTCTAGAAGATAGTCTAGAAGATGCATTTTACGCCTAGAAGATGCATTTTGTCCAGCTAAGCTTAAGTGAGACGAACCAATTTCAGCCTGACCAGCGACTTGTAATGCAACAAAATGGCTCTTTCTGAAGGATCGGAGTAAAGGGACATCTAGACTAAGCAGCCCTCCGACTGATCGCGACAACCGCTAAAACCTGGTTTGGTGTTTTAGGAATATTCACAGATAATGTAGTAAGAACTGGAACAATCAAATAACCAGCTCGTGTTTTGAAAGTAAATCTGTTTAAAACTACTGCAGCTGGTTTAATTTTACTGGCAAAAAGTTGATGAGGACGCAATGAAAAAATTTTCCTTACTCAGCCTGTACGCGTTGGATACTTCTTTTGATTTGAAGATTTTCAAAATAGCTTTGGGTGCAATTTTAATAGCTTTGAGCGCAGCCTGTTCAACAAGAAAGTTTTGATATTTTTTGTTTTGTGGATTGTGTTAATCTCTGACAGAGCGGCAACAATAAACGTGAATAAGAAAAAGTTTCATACGCGAAAAGGTGTAAATGAAGCCAACGACGAATTTTGCCTCACAGCAAAATTTATGAACGCATACGTATGACTGGACAAAATATCTGATAACACTTTCAAGTTCAGGCAGTAAAATATCCGTTCATTACTTCCCGAAGTCCGAACCATTATCCGATGACTCGTGACTTAAACTGGAATCGCTGCCTAAAGTTGACGGCAGGTAACATGCACTGTCGCGTAAAAGTTTTGGTGGATGAATTATTATCTCAGGAACCACGGAATCTAGGAAACTGGAATTTTTGGATAATGACCCCTGCTCAAGTACGACCTTGCAACTTCAAATTCAGCGTTCCCACACTCTCGGGTGTCACTTACGGCTCTGTGAAAATTTTGGCGGGAAAATTATCTCGGGAACCACAGAAGCCAAAAGGCTAAATTTTGCGGTAGTGTGCCCTGACTACATGCAACCCCGCAAATTTAAATTCAGACTTCCCGCGTGCCAAAGTATCACTTGCGGCCTCGTGAATGTTTTGGCGGGCAAACTTACTCGTGAACCGCGAAAGTTAGGAGTCTGAAATTTTATGGCGATGTCCCCGATCAACGTACGACCCCCGCAAAATTTGGGCCACGTACGACCGCGTGAAAGTTTTGACAGGAAAATCTTCTCATAAACTGTAATAGCTAGGAGGCTGAAATTTTAGCGTAGCATCCCTCGCCCGCGCGCAATTCTGCAAATTTTCAACGTCACCGTGGAAATTTTGGCTAGAAAAATCATTATATCGGAAGCCAAAAGAGTCAGGAGGCAGAAAATTTCAGAAGAATGTTTCCTGCTCAAGCAGGAGCTTCACAAAATCAAATTCAGTTCCTAAACATGCCGAGGCTCCACGTTCGACCGCGTGAAAGTTTTGTCTCAAAGATCATTCAAAAGCCAGAAAATTAGGAGATTGAAATTTTGGAATATTCACCCTCCAAAGTTTCGAATTCAGCTTTCACGTACCGGTCCGTGAAATTTTTAACTATTTTTTAACATTGCAACTATTTTTGCATAAAGTGTAAAGCAGTGGAAATCATCAGCAGGCAATCGTTGGGTGGACGGAACTGCACAAAGCGCATGGTCGCACCGGTTATTCTGGTGCGCACTGCTGTTTGTTATTTTTGACGCCAATTTCATGCTTGAATTGTTAACCGATGGACTTCAGTTAACAATTCTGTCCGAAAGTCGGCGTTATTCACGCCTGAAGTTTCCAGAAGTTCAACGACGTTCTGGAAAATTCCAGTACAGCTGGTATTTTACACTAGTATTCTAATGGGAATCACGTGGGCAAGAGCCTCAATTTTGGAAATACAAGCCCGTATATGCATGTAAATTAAGCTCCCAAAATTTCAGCTTTGCAGCTTTTGTAAGTTTCGAGATGAAAAATCAATGCAGACGAACACACATACACAGAAAACCTTTCGTCAATATACGTTTTCTGCACTGCACAGATACAAAAAAAGAAAAAAAACGAGCCTCGAAACTGCTTCAAGCTTCCCACTTTGAGGCCTAGGCAGTTTATAACAACCTGTTACAGGAAGTCTCTTCTAAGTTCTCTACAAGCAAAACCAAGCAGCCGATAGCGCACTCTACCGTACAATCATAGTACACTGAGAGCATCGCTTTATCTTCCTTTGAGTTATCGGCGGTTTTAAATAACAATTTCACTTTCATATTGAGCAGCGGAATAGGCGTAGAGGCGGGTAGTAAGGAGGAAAAACTGGGGATGCAGGTTGGGGCAGAGGAGGGCAAGTTGGTTTAATACTGATTTAAATAAACCCTTTTTTTGCACGTGAACATTAACCGGATGAAATGCATCCAGAAGTCTAAATGAACATTGATTTCTTCGAAAAGTAGACAAAAAGATTTAATGCATATCCAGCGTTTTTCGGGAATTAAGCTGCGTGAGGATATGCTATTTCTCACGTGCCGGTCTCGTTAGTCGTCGAACTAAACACGTTTGCACATTTCGCCATACTGAAAATTGGCAATATGGTTTTTGTTTTTTAAATGTCCCGGTGCGAAATTCAGCAAAAAGTGTAGTTTTGTACTTTGCATCATCCCAAGTAATAACAAATCGACGACGAGACAAAAGAATGGTTAATGAAGTAACAAAGTGAGAACTTACTTCTTACTGCACATATAATGAAAGAAAAAAAAAAAAAAACAATACATAATTAGAGCATTCAGCAATGTGGAAGATACTTATTTGGAGAAAAAAAAAACACTCAAAATTGAGACTTTTTTAGGTTATTCATGTACAATAAAATCAATTAAAGAGCTGGAAAATTTTGTAGCTGTGAAGCCGTCATGAAAAACCGTAACGGC